ATTGACTATGCCTAATATATGAGGTAAGCTGCTAAAAACTAAATAGATACAGTCCTGGCCTACAGGACTTGCAGACTCACAATCTAGCATTAAAGTGTGACAGTTTATAATCAACTTCAATAATAATTCTGATGCGAGGCAGAAAACAGGATCTTAAAAAAACTTTTTTGCCTTTTATTTCTTTATTTTAATATACAGTACTTAATTTCTTTCTGCTTTCATGAGTTTTTTTTTCTCCTAATTTCTTTAAATCTTGATTGGTTTTGTAGTTTGTGGTTTATTAATATAATCAAGACTGTGGTTTCTCCCTTTGTTCTTCAATTTTATCTTTAGTTTCTGATTTGTATTTTTAAATTTATTATTACTGTTAACTCTTTTTTTTTTCTTAAAGATTTATTTATTTGTGTATACAGAACTGGGGTACAGGCCAGAGGCTCAGGGGCGGTGAGAGGTTCCACCAGAATGGGAAACAGAACAGGCAGATCGACGAAGTACACTGCTGAGGGGAGCAGCGGGCGGGTCAAGAGAGGTCTGCCGTGCCATGTGGTCACCTCCAAGACAGGAGGGAATACAACTCATGCAGAAGTGGCTTTAGATTTTCGTGCTGTGCTTTAACCTGCTGCACCATCAGGGAGGGCCTATTACTGTTAACTCTTACTGAGTTTGCATAACCTAGACTGGGAGAGAGAGTAAAACCTTCCCTGAATAGGTGATAAACTACCTGATACCAAAAAGATATACTGCAAGATAGCAAGGACAGGATAGGAAAAGAGGCAGAAACTTACATTTTTTAACTAAAATAAGGTGACCGTAGCTATAGCATTTTGAACAGGAAGATGAAAAAGGTAAAACAACATCAGGGTAAATAATGACAACCCAGAAAGTCATCATACAGTACAGACTCATATCTATAAGCTCCTACCATCACTCAATGAAGGAAAGTCATCCTTAACCGCAATCTGCACATTTACTCTTTCCTTGGCCACAGGCCACATGCCTTTCAATTAGATTAGGATGTGTTTCTTTCCCATATCTGATTTTATTTCATATGATCAGAGTTATAACATACTGATTTCTGCTAAACTCTCAGAAAATAGTAAGCACTTTGTTTTGCTTCCAAAATGCTAAGCTACATCCTTTATTTTTTAAATAGTCAAATCCATACCTCTAAGCCATTATTACTGATTGAACTAGTCACTAGCTCTGTAGTTTATTTTTTGACCTAAAGTTTTTATTAGTTTTCATAAGTTCCCAAAATATAGCTCAAGGAACATGTGTTCCTTGAAACAATTAGAAATTTTTAGACAAAATTTAAAAATTGAGATATATTCTCTGCTATAGTCTCCAGAAACTAACACAAACAACTTTAGACTCCTGACCTCCAGAATAGCAAGAATAAATTTGTGTTTAATTAAATTTGTGGTAATTTGTTACAGCATCAATAGAAAATCAATATGCTTCTCCAAACTCAAACACCTTGGGCATTGCTTCAGCAGTCAATGTTTGAACTTCTTTCATTCTACACCCATTCACATGCTGATCTTCATTAATGCCAAGACATTAAATATGTATGCAGTTAGAATTCCAAAATACATACCTCCTCTAGACTTATCCACTCATTTATGAATTCATATATCTGCCTACTTAATATTTTAAACTGTACATCTCAAAGGAATCTCAAATTTAGCATGTCAAAACCAAATTCTTCATCTGATTCCACAAAACCTTTGCTTCTAGCACATTCAATCACAATGAATGGAAACTATATACTAATTTTTTTAGAGCAAATTCTTGGGCCTGTGACTTCTTTCTCTAATGTTTCAGATACAAAATGTTAGCTATTCTCCACAATTTTACCTTCAAATATATTTAGAACATAAGCACTAGCAACACTATACACTATCCAAGTTTTCTTAATTTTAAAGTAGATGATTTGGACCACAGATCTGCACTCTCACTTTAAGATACTCTTAACAACAGGCAGAGCACCCACTGGCGATAACCCTCAAGGAGCATCCCAGGAAACATTGGCAAAAACATCTATTTTCTAATCTTTTCCTGAAAGGAGTCTAACTGCTTATCTCACAAGTTATGCCTAAGAATTGAGCTGTTAATTTAGCATGCATCTGGAGGCTGGCTGCTATCCAAGACTGGCAAAGCCAGTAGATACTTCCCTTGTTCTCTCTCATTATGGTCTGCTCCAAGAATAATGTCAAATCACTAGTTTCCTTCCTAGAAGGAAACTAGTTGCCACAGTTTTATAACTGCTGTTCAAACAATAGGACCCAAATCACTTAGTTTTGATTAACTAAGATCAGCAATTTGTAAGCCAACTCGAAAACCCCACAGAGACTACAGCAAACAAAAAAAGCAATTTTTAAACATATTAAAATATATGGGATGCAGCCAAAGCAGTTCTAAGAGACAAGTTATGTCTACATTCAAAACAACAAAAAACACGAACAACCTAATTTTACTCCTCAAAGGACTAGAAAAAAAGAACATCACAAATCCAAAGTTAGTAAAGTATCAACAAAAAGTAGAAATAAATGAAATGGAAACTAAAAAAAGGTAACAAAGAAAAAAGGAAAATAACATTTCTAGCTAAATGTAAAAACAAATTAGCTAGTCTGAGCAAAAAAAAGGACTCAATTACAAATAAAAAGAGACATTAAAACAAATAAGACAAATTAGCTTTCAAGTCTGAAAGCTAATAAGAAAATAGTGGGAAATATACAATGAGCTGAATAATAAAGAAGATAGAGATAAGTTCCTAGAAACACACAACCTAACAAGAGTGCTGGCAGGAATGTGAATTGCTATAGTTTCATAGAAAACAGGGGTGGTTATTCAAAAAATTATAAGAAAATTACAATACAATCAAACAATACACTACTGGCTCTATCCACAGGAAATAAAATACCACCACTTCAAAGAGCTATACATATTCTTATCAGAGCACCATTCACCAGGGTCAAGGTATGAAAGCCTGCTACTGGATGAACCAGCACAACATTATGGCAAGTGAAGTAAGTTTGAGAAAGACAAACACTGCATGCCATCACTCCTATGTGAAATCAAAAACACTCAACTCAAACAATAGAAAAGTTATTCTCAGATTATAACATGGAGGAAATAAAAAAAGGTTAGTAAAAGGAGGTAAGCACAAACTTTCACTTACAAATGAGCTCTGAGGACGTAATGGTAACATTGTGATTGTGACAATGGTTGTAACACTATATTGTCTGATTGAAATCTATGAATGGACTGAAATTTAAATGTTCTCACCAAGAAAAGGATGGGGGGAAATATATGAGGAGAGTGGTGAGTTAACTTATTAGTATAAGTTGCAATATATATACATATATACACACACACACACACACACACACCACATACTATATATATACTATATGCACACACAGAGATTACACTGTACACTTTAAATCTCAATTTCATTTGTCAGTTATACCTCAATGAATCTGAAAAAACTAAAATGTGTAAAGTAACTTACAAAGGATAGCCTAGTAACAGGAAAGCACCACATACACCATTCAAAAAATGTTTACTATGTGCAATATTTTTGTGAAACTCCAGCTAAGCAAATTCCTTCCCTAAGTTGAAAGAAGTTTAAAATATTAATGTTTAATCAATTCTATAATTTGTAGTACAGAAATTACTGATGGGTTTGTACACTAATATTATAGTTCTATCAAGTTTAAACCTATTTAATAGGGTAAATCAAAGTAAACATTTATATTACAAAGAGCAAGTATATTGCAAAGAATAAATAGGATAGATGACAACTACATCCTAGGAGAACAATTGAAGATAATCTCATAATTCTCACAGAAGAGTAGTATTTTTCAACAGCATTTTGTGGAATATTAAGTCCTTATACATGGAAATATTGCTCCTCAGAGTGCTCCCCAGGCCTGTATCACCACTATGCTTTAGAACCTAAAATGCAGGTCCTTCCGGTGGTGTAGCGGGTTAAAGCACAGCACTAAGAAGCTAAAGCCACTTCCCCATGAGTTCAATTCCTGCCTGCCCCGGAGGTGACCACATGGCGCGGCAGACTTCTCCTGACCCGCCCGCTGCTCCCCTCAGCAGTGTACTTCGTCAGTCTGCCAGTTCTGCTCCCCACTCTGTCTCTGGTGAAGCCTCTCGCCGCCCCTGAGCCTCTGGCCTGTACCCCAGTTCTGTATGTGTAAAAATATATCTAAAAAAAAAAAATGCAAACTCTCAGACCATTTATTTAGAATGCTTATAACAGGATCCAGTGATTTGCACTTTAATAAACAAGTGTGGCAAGTGTTACTGATTCTTCAAATTTGGGAAGTACCACCTTAGTGTGTTCATTGCACATGATGATCTATCATATGAAATTTTTTTTCATCACTGAGGCCACAAGGAATTTGACTATATAAAATCATATGGCCTCAGGTCTATATAACTTGTATATGTATATATTTTGGCTTTAGCAAATTAATTAGAAAAAGAGTGCTAAGGTATTTATGCAAGGAAAGTTAAGTAATAAATAGGGTCACATTGGGAGGTAAAAAAAAACAAACCAAACCATACCAAAATTTGTTATTTACATAAACAATATGGTTTAAGCAGCATAGTATCACATTCCTTCGAGAATCTGAATTTTTGTATAAACTAACAAAAAAAAAAAAAAAAAAGGACATCAAAGAGATCATCTCTCATGATGACCTTGGACCCTAAGTCTCTAATGAGCACCGCTGGGTAGAAACATCACCTACCTGTTGCTGCGGGGAGGGTGTGTTTTTTCTTTCCCCTCAGGGAAGGAGGAGGACATTAAAGAAGACTCATCGTGGATTGTTTGAGTTAACTGTGTTTCCTCACTGCTTCACTACAACTTCAGCCAGGAATACAACTATACACTGAGTCATAAGAGTTATTCTAGAAAATTACGAAGGATAGTTTTGAGGACTCCCCATACAAAAGCTTTTTCCAAAAGCCAACATTCTTACCCGCTGATAAGCTTCATAGATCACATCAAACTGAAAAGCCTGTGGCATTTCACTTGCTCTGTGTCTTGCACGTTCCAATGAGTGGTCCAAGCAGCCATCAGAAGAGGGACTAATGACAGTGGACACAAGAGGTCGAATTGCTCCTGCGGCCTGAAAACCAGAGGTCACAAAGAGAGGCAAATTAAATTTGACAATACTTAAAGTAAAAATTTGAATTCTATCCTAACTTTAGAACGTTTTGCGTCTTCAGAAAACTACCTACAATCACATGAACAAATGTCTACTTGGTTCCAAAATTATTCCCCATCTCATGATATTACAGCTCCCTATACTTAGAACTATTTTTTTTTCACTGTCAACTCAAAATCCTTTTTATCCAAGGCCACTGAAGTCAAATACTAAAAAAGGATGTTAAGATATTTGGATATTCCTTGAGGATGGGAAGCAGGAGGAAAAACTATTGTCAAAGAATTAAAATGGATTATACACAAATATTTACTAATTACTGTGCTGTGAAGTAATTTAATTTACATGTTACACATTTAAGAAAAATAAATCCATGACATTCGAAAAATGAGAGTCAACAATAATCCAAACAACGTACACTATCATCTAACTTCTGTGAAAAGCACTCCCTTCAAACATAGGCTTACATCAAAGCTTCTTCAGGCAAGACAGCCATTGATACCAGTTGCTCTAATAAAAGATCTGTCCTTTAATAGATACATCTAAACTTTATTTAAAGAGGAATTCTTCCATCCGATCAGTTTCTTTAATAGAGTGTAATATGGTACTGAAGGTCACTGTCAGTCAGTTTCCTCACTGAAGTAGCCTGAAAATATGCTAGAGAGCTCAACATAACTTATATTGATGGCAATTGTACTAGCTTTACATAATTGCCAGATGAGAACCGTGCACATGAAACTAATGCACAAATACAACAAATTTACTCTTAAGGACATCAACATCCAAGCAAGATATACAGTTCAGAAACTAGTGTACAAAATCCAAGGTATTTTTTGTCACCATTTCCAGTGGTTCAAGTAGAAATCTGGAATCTAGGCATAGAAGCAAAAATGAGGAGACAGAGAGGAAACAGGGAGGGAATGACTACCAAATAGGAAAAAGGGAGCTAAGGAATAAGCTTAATACCTATCAAAAGGGGTTAGGAGACATTACAAGCAAGAACACATGTGGCACACACATAGACACACATAGCTCAAAGGAAAAAATCAGAATTCCATTTTAATTACTTACAGGTACTGTTGAGAGTCTATGTCTGACCATGTAGTAAAGAAGTATTTAGACGAGAACATGAACCACCCAAAATGTCAGCAAGAGGAGTTCTGCAGACTCTCTCTCCAGCAAAACAACTATAACTAGTGAAAATTATTTAAAAACCAAACATTTAAAGTCTTTGAAAATTGTCCTAAAGGCATTCAGTAATTAAGAAACATTACTCAAGAAAGTCTTCAACATCTTAGTGGTAAGAACAGAGAGCCTGTGATACTAGAGCCAGGATTAGTTACTTCCTTCATTCGCCCACCAAATTCAATGTGATTGAAGCTTCTGCAGAATAGGTAGGTGTAAAAAGATGGGGTCCCTACTTCCTCTAGCTAGCAGAGGTAGGGGGAGAATGTCAATATTCACCATCTGCTCAGCTACATATTACAGAGATTAACTTATATGCAAGTATGTCCAGAGACTGGAGATCTTTTCTCCATGTAACTTTCTCTCATAGAGCAGAGAATCTCCCTCGTGGTAGACAGAGAGTACTGGGATTCAGATAACCCTGTCACAGTTAATAAACAGGCACTAAGGTTTCATACCTGAAAAGACAGAAAAAGACTTCCAATACTCCCTACTCATTAGAAGAAAGTCAATTTGCTTCCACACAAAATAAGGGGTCTCCAGAGAATTCCAACTCGTAAAGGCAAAAACACATGTTGCCTATATTAGGGGTTCATTGTCAGCTGGCCAAATAAAGCAAAGTAATCAAACTCTAGTGTACTCAAAGACTTTCAATTGGTGAATAGAGAAAAAAAGAATAGGGAGAGAAGGACTTCCGTATAGAGATTCCTAATCAAATTGCAAATCACTCATCTCCTTGGGGGTGAACACCTGGCCAAACAGGCATGGACCAGATATGAAATGCCAGGAGAAAGAATCTAAGAGCCTTCCTAGCAAAGAAAAAAAGCAAGCAGTGGGTAAGGAAGCCATCAAAGGTCTGGAAGAGAAGATAGCCTGAAGTTCAAAACATATCAATCAAGCTGGAAAATCAGCCAGAATTCAAGATGGTTGCTGTTGTCTCTGAAAAGCCAGCATAAGAAAGCACACTAGAAAGAACAAACAGGCTAGGAGCAAAGACACTAGCAGTCTACCCATGTGTCCTCCATTCCTCTCCCCTTTCCACACAATAGCAACATCTTTACATCCTCCTTCCCAGCATCCCCACACTCAGGGCGGTATGTTAACAGCATGCAAGGAGCTAAACCAGATATGGAGATGAGGGTGTTAAGTCCATTACATCCTGCCCCACTCTCTACTTGCCAGTTCTGACACCAGTCACATCAGCAGCCTGCCCCAACGACTCCAAGAATAATAAGACACTGTGCCCCTCCATACCTCCAGGTCAGTGGTACAGTGATTTCAGAGTGAGAGAAAAATTCTTAGAACCCAGAGCTAAGAAAACATTCCTCTAGGAATTCATTTTACCTGGAACAAAATGTGAAGTTTAAGACTAAATGCATTATTAAAAGAAATAGAAATTACGGAGTCAAAAGGATGCTGGTAAGGAGTCAAAAGGATGCTGGTAGTTAGGAGAGCAAAAGGTGAAACTATAGCCCAGCTAGTTTATCAATCAAGGAAGGAGACAGCAAGAAGAGAATAAGAACAAAACCTGAAACATTGGCCTAAAAATCCATACCAGCGAAAAGGTTATAACCTAACTAGATGAAACTATAGAGCGAGTTATGCCCTGGACATTGTTTTTAATAAGAGGTAATGATTGGCACTTACCAGTTGCATGTGATAACAGAGGTTAACAGTACAAGACTGATCAGGGAAAGAAACAATGAGCCTTGCTAAAATCACTTACATCCCAAAATGACTACAAACACAGCCAAGACTGCACCTCCAAGAAATAACAGACTTCACCCTAGAGAGGAAAAGACTTCACTGATACAGAACAGAGAAGCAACAAACAAGCCAACTATAAGGCTGGGAAATGTGGGAAGGAAGACTATCAATATATTGGTGACAATATATTATCGAAAAATATCCAACTTTAAACAACAACAACAAAGGAAGTTGTGCATTCAACCAAGAAAGCAGTAGCTATACCAAAAACAAAGTACTGCCTGTGAAAAGGCCCAGATGCCAAACTTTGCAAATAAGGACTTCAAGTCAGCTATTACAAATATGTTCAAAGTAATAAATAAAAGCATGATTAAATAAGCAAGGTACAGTGACAGTATTAATTGTTAACATCAACAACCTTAAGACACAAATGTTAGTTTAAAAATAACTAGAAATTCTAGAGTTGTAAACTAGAAAAATCGAAACAATTTCCTAGAAGAAAAGAATCCATGAGCATGAAATCAGATCAACAGGGACTATGTATCGCTTAGAATGAAGTAAAAACAGAATCAAATCACAAAGAAATGTGCCATTAAGCATGGCAACATTTTCATAATGGGGAGACCAGAAGGAGAGAAGAAAACAAACACAAAAATTACTCAAAGAAGTAACTGAAAATTTCCCAAGGTTAAGGAAAACTACTCTGTCATTCAGCAACTCAATCAACTCTAAAAAGAGTAAACACAAAGAAATCCCTATCTAAACAACTCAGATTAAAAAAAAAAAAATACTGACAGCTACGGGAAAAGAAAAAATCTTTGAAACATCACAAGGAAAATGTTTATCATTAACAAGAGAACTCCAAGGAGATTAACAACTGATTCTTAGAACAATGAAGGCCAGAAGACATGGGGTGGTACAGAACCTGTTCAAAGAAAAAGACCTGTCAAAATTAATACAGACTGAACAGAAACCAAAAAAATTCTTTGTTAGCCATCACTGACCCTACCAAAAAAATAAATAAAACTAAATATGTTCAAGCTAAAATAAAATAACCACAGACAAATTCAAATCCACTTGAAAAAATAAGAGCTAATATGAAATGATAATATATAATTACAAAAGACAGCATACATACATATTTCTTTCTTACATTAACTGATTTAAAAAGCAGTTATATAACAAAAAAAAACTAAAAATAGTAAACTAGGAATTTAATATGCAAACTCTAATTTTACATGTACTTACCTCTCAGCTTCTATTAGTTTCAAAATATAAACTAATAAGTACAATAGATGTTGTGTTTCTACAAATATAGATTTAATAAGCATAATAGTAATAGTGCTGAAATGGAAAAGAGAATAGAGCTAATAGAAATAACATATCCATCTCTCACTGGAATTAAGGTAGTATAAATGAAGGATACCATGGTACATATTTCTTTAAACCCTAGAACAATATTAAGAGACAAAGACAAAAAACAAAGTGAGGATATAATTAAAGAAATTAATGTTACATAGAAAATATTCACTTAATGCATAAAGTGTGGTGAGAATAAACATGAAACAAAAAGTAGAAGCATAAATCCAGCTATATCAATGATAATACTATATAGAATCAACTCAATAAGTCAATAAAGAGGTAGAGAGAGCAAAACAGGAATTTTAAAAAATAGCTTTATTCAGTCTACAGAGAGACATATTTGAAATTCAAAGATACAAACTCTAAAAGTAAAACGATAGCTACAAATAGCAACCAGAATAGCTACAATACTATCAGGCAAGAAATAAGCATTAAAAGTGCTAACAGAAGCCCTCCCTAGTGGTGCAGCAGGTTAAAACACAGCACCAAGAAGCTAAGGCCACTTCAGCAGAGTTTGATCACAGCCCTGGAGGTGACCCACATATCGAGGCAGACCTCTACTGACCCGCCCACTGCTCCCATCAGCAGTGTACTTTGTCAGTTGGCTTGTTCTGCTGCCCACTCTGTCTCTGGTGAATCCTCTCACAGCCCCTGTACCTCTGGCCTGTACCCCAGCTCTGTATGCATAAAAATATATCTTTTTTAAAAAG